ATCAAAAATTTTATTAGTGTCTGCATTTAAAATTAAACATTCATTTTTTATTACTTTACGGTCAAAATTCAATACAGATGATTGTGTAGAGATTTAAGTATCGTCCAAATATTAGGATCGAAAACAACTAAATCAGTTAGTCTGCAGAGATGATGTAGTATTTTAATAGAGTAATAGAAAGAGAAATGAAAATAACCAATTTTTTACTTAAATGTTTACGAAAACTTGTACAGATCAAATAAAATATCGTGTGTAGCATATCGAACAATAGAAGATAAATATGAAAATGAGTTTCGCACTTTAGATAACGACTAATTTGTACAATTAAGAAATCAATAAATGCGAGTAATTACTCTATATCATAACGGAATGTGGATGGCTGATAATTAATGTTCACGAAGCAATGGTCAAAGAAAAATAGATTTATTTAATTTTTTTTTCTTGATTATTTTCATTAATGATACTATATATTTTTGTGTAGATGTGCATACAATATGTACATTGAAAAATGAAAATCGCTGTCATGTGAAATTATAATATAAGCGAGATAAAGCATTAAAATATTTGCACGTATCTTCCCTTCTATTACATAGTTTAAATCTCTGTATGTGTCTACATTCATCCGTCTCTTTCTTTCGCTCTTTCCACAACCATTTTGATAATAAATTTTAGTGAATAAATAAGCGAAGATAAAAAACATTGAATTTCGAATTTTTTCTACAGTACAAAAAGGTGATTGTATTTCTCATTACAAAATTCTAATGGATGAGCGACTTGAGCGGACTCTTGTGAATATTCTTTATGATCACATGCAAAGTTAATCAATATCTACTTGCTTTCAAATAACTAATTATGATATTTCGAAAAGCTAAAATACTTCCGAATTTGAGTGTATTTTTATGTTCATTGACTTTTGCCTTCATTAATTTAAAGAAGGACTATTTAAAATTCTCAACGTTGGACAACTTTCTTTTGTTAAACTATCCATTTAATCTAGCTAGATGAATTTTGTAAATCGTTGTACTATCATCGTGATTAGCAAGATTTAACTTTTTGTAAGAAATATATCAATTTCATTCAAGTTCAAATAAATTTTTCAGAAATGAACTCCATTTTGAAAAAGTCATATATTAGTAGAAAAGTAATCAATTGTATTAAACACACGGAAAATCTAGTTTATACTAACCTGGCTGCACAATTTGTTTATCTATAATTTCCCCTTCCAGATCCTTTATATCACTAGATACAGAAAGTGCTGAGTTAACATAGTATGTTCTTTCTTCTTCTGTAAGTTCAGGTTCAGTCGCCTTTTGTTCGAAGTACCTTCTTTGTTCTTCCAGCTTGTCCTTTTCTGTATCAAGATCTTCTAACTGAAAAAAAAATATAGAAAAAAACAAACGAATCCCAAAAAGCTTATCATGTTACATCTGGATTCAGTTCATCCACCGTTTCTTCATCATTATTACTAGACATTTTAAAAGTACTTGCGTGTAGAAGCTCGTGCTCGATAATAATGAATGTAACCTATTTCAATTCGCAAGGACTCACGTACACATTCTGTCTCCTCTCTATTTCTTCATTTCTTTTTCTTTTGGTTTATCTTTTAAATGGCTCATTTTCAGGTTTCATATAGATCAAGAAATCGAAATTAAAATAAAATCTTTAGGAATGAATGAAATAGTAGCGTTGCTGTCGAAGATACTTGTATCGATATTTGATGGGCTATCATGTTATCGGAGAAAGAACATTTTGGTATTGATTTTATTATAATTAGAAATTTTCCTATAAGGATTGTCTTTCGATTCTTATACAGAAAAAATAATAGATCATTTTGCTAATGTGAAAAAGATGTTCATCATTCCTCAAAATATTCTTAAAATAAATCGTTTACGAAAAATGATTTTCAAAGACTAATTTTCTAATCGAACGTCAAATAAGTGTAGCATATTAATAAAAATTTTAACTTTTTAATCGTGCAGCATATTAATATGTTTTTTTTAATTTATTATGAAAACAAACTAAAAACATATAAATCAATTTCTAATTGAATACATGAGTTCTTTGTGAATTTTCGAACCTTGAGAAGTTCATCTTCAGACATAAGATATTCCATATAATTTCATAGATCACCATAACATAAACTAAATAAAGACCAGAATTAATAAGCCAAGTAATAATTTCAATTTAAAATTGATTTATATGTTTTTAGTTTGTTTTCATAATAAATTAAAAAAAACATATTAATATGCTGCACGATTAAAAAGTTAAAACTAATCGAACGTTTTTGACGACAATTTTCGGAAGTTTGCTGACAGGAACATTCATGCTATATGAGAATTCTATGAGTGGGGATGAGTGTGGATATGAAGCTAGTACTTTATTCAATCCATAGCCACACCCTTATACGTAGGCTTGTCATGTATTGCGAATGAATCTCACTAAATGGTCAAGAGAAAGAAGAAGTTAGATCTTTTTTACTTTATAATAACGACAGATATTCGTACAATCTTCGTTACCTAAATTTTAAATTATGTTGACAAAGCTCAGAAATATGCATTCATCTTCCAAAAGCCTATATCACTATAGTCCGTCCAATAAGTCGGTGCGTGTGATTGCCGGTTGGATAACTCAAGAACGGAAATAGCTAGAGACCTGCGGTTTTCACTAACCGAAGGACGTGACACATGAAAGTCTTTTTCTTCGATATTGTACAAGACGAATTCATATTAAAATCAATCATTTCCTTAAAACATTCGAAAATAAGCATGATAACGGTCTATTATTTCGATGAGATTTTGATTTTAATATGTGATCTGGATAGAGAGAGACTTCAGATCTATAACTTAACATATAATGTAAATGATTATCTTCACACCTTCTAATATCAAGCAAATACAATTCTCTATTTGCTCCCTCGAAGAATACGAATTTCTCTTGAATTTTCTTACTTTTTGTCAAAAAATTTCATCTCAACGACAATATTTTCGCACCTTTTTTCAATCTTTTGTAAAAAGAATTGATTTTAAAATGACTTCGTCTTATACAATATCGAAGAAAAAGACGCCCCCATATCGCCTCCTTCGACTGATGAAAATCGCAGGTATCTAGCTGTTTGCGTTCTTGAGTTATTCAACAAACAGTCACAAGCATGGATTTTCTGGACGGACCATAGTTCTAAGCATTTTCAAATATATACCGATGATCGACGTTCATGTTTTCATGTTTATGAATGAATATAAGTTGAGTTCTGTTTAGACTTCAATAGTCTTGTTAGGTATTGATTCATAGGGTGTAAGTGTATTTAAGTGGTGCGGATGGGTGGCTGTGGGGTGTCGGTGTTGGTGCGGATGCGAATAAAGAATGAGCCCATATCCACATCTTCCCACACTCACACTCCACACCCATATCCCACCCTCTTTCATAAATTATTGCCTCCTTAAGTGCAGCAGCTGACAAAAGTCTCGCCCCTAGAGGACCTCAGTCATTATGCACGCTTCGTAAAGAGTGTAAGTCAGAGACACATTTCCACTTTGATTGCTGAAGTACAGAGAGAATTATGATGGATGATTGTGGATACCACTTATGTCGTCCTTGAACGTCGTAACTCTGGACACGATGAGCTTTTTAGGTCAGCTAATAGCTCATTATGTAGTGCTGTGTCCCGCTTAATTTCATTGAAGTTCATCAATCTCTTCTAGTACTGTGGCCATTTTACTCTATCTGTTGATGTGGATGAAAACAATGTTGTATTCTTTTGAAATGAGAACGCGATAATAATTCATTTAATCGGTCTCGGATTCCAACAAAACCTACTTCTACAGTTTTTAATGTGCAAGACTTAGAATCATACAAAAGCGCAAATATTCCAGCAAATGAATTCATCTTTTGAGTAAGGAACAATCACATGTTGAACTATAGCTGCACTATTGACCACAACGAAGTCATCATTTCTTTGGAAAAAAAACTAGTGCAAAATTGAGTAGGCACTCCTTTTCTACTAAACGAATTTAATACAAGAAGATATCATCCATCATACATCTCTTTGTACTCAAGCAATCAAAATGTAATTGTGTTTCTGATCTACATTCTTTATGAAGTGTGTACACACAAATCTTCAGACTCCTGGCATGTATAATAGCTGAGATCTTCTAGGGGTGGGACTTTTGTCCACTACTGTAGTAGTTCTTGTAAAACAAAAAGTTTTACTTTCAGTTCAGTTTTCTTGCTTTTAAACACAAAAAATGATTATCATAAATATAAGGATTAAAGATGATAACACAATGATTCTCGATTATTGATTTTATTCTTAATAAAAATTGAATGGTAGATCACTCAACATGTATCTTAAGTTACTCGGGAGACCGTTGTTGAGATCTTTGTTCCGCTTCTTGCTTGATCATTAATTGTTGAATATGAGTTGGTATACCCGGATTAAGATTCAAAGCATATGATAATAGTGTGTCGGATATATTTACAAAATGAATCATAGTTTTAATTTACATTGTATCGTTTCGTACATACGGATCAGCTTCCTGTTGAAACTTTTCCAATAGAAAAAATTGTGGCATACCACTGTTTATATTCATATTCGATCGAGGTTGATGAAATCTATTTGATGAAATATGTAGTAGAAATGAATGGTTAATATGCTGCTGTTTAGGCGTTTGATCATACAAACAAAAGGTAACTTTATAGTTGAATGGAAATAATTGGAGAATTGGATCGTTTAAACTTGGCATGAACTCAAAAAAAAACTGACATATATGTACCATAAGCATCTCCATGACCATTTAAATACAAACGAGCTCTCGTTTTGTAACCAGTTGGAAATGAAAAAAATGGAAGTGAACAAATTGATGTTTGTCTTAAAGTTTTTGCATCCACAAAAAATTGAAGAACAGAAGTCATCATAGAAGTGTTTAACAAACTGATTGCATTGATAACTGGTTTGATCAATGCATGAGTAGATTATTAAATGACATTTTATTCTTTGATTACTTTTATGATTGAACACAAGAGCGATTGTTCAACTTACTCATTTTATCTTTAACATTTGTAATTTTCCACACAAATATTCCATCATATGAAACAGTTTGCGCATCATTAATTGTTTCTTGCAGAGATGCAAAAATTCGATTGACGATGCATTGATTCTGTTTAATATCTTGCAAAAGAACTTTTGATCTTTCAATCGATGTTTTGAATTTTGATAATTCTTGTCTAAATCCTAGAAATGAATTTTGAATTTCAAGTGATTCATTGCTTAGACGTTGTTGATCATTATTCAATGTTTCAATGCCAGCTGACAAAATATTAAGAATTTCGTGAAGATCTTGTGATTGAGTCGTAGCTGAATTAGAATCTCCTGCAGTTGTTAGTCGATAAAGATCATTATGCTTTTGTATATAGTTTAACTGCGATAAAATTTCACGAACAGCAATGATTAGGACATGTTGATGTTTTTCAGTCATGTAATGCTCTTTCCTTTTTGATAAGAATAATCTAAAGAACAGGAATTTTCAAACTTTGCATTTATAAAATGTTCATACTTGTTCATTACAACTGTAGTATTTCAGTATACATTCAACCATTAGACTTTGACATTCAGAGACTCGATGTTCATTAAATTTGTCAACTGAGTTGAATTCTTCGCCACAATATTCACATTTAGAATGTGAATGAAGTTCATCAAGATGTTCCTTTTGAAAGAAAAAAGATAAAAAGGTTCATAAATAAAGTTAATATAAATAAATTACTTGATAATTATCTAAGATACCAGTCCAATGGCAATAATAACAATTAATATGTAGATTTTTCATAGCCTTTATAAAGTCTTTATCGATCATGATCTACATAAATGAAATATAGTTTGTCTATAATTATGAAGAGATATATTACATTGATTCTTGATGTTTCTAATGGGCATTGGCGACATTTTATTGGCGTTGTTTAAAAAGAATAATGAAGAATCATAAAAAAAATAAAATAATATAACTCGCATTTTGAACATCGACACATGATTGACATTGTCGATGACCACATTCACTTAATTGTACAGGATTTTGTAGTATCAATGAACACACAAGACAAATATAGATTGCATCGAAACTAACTTTATTTTTTGCATCGAAGCCTGCCATGATTTTAATTTAATTAATCAAAAAGCAATTTTCTTTCATCTGTATGATTTTGTTTTATTTTGTTACTCTGTGTATAAATAGAAAAAATATTGAACGTCCCAGGTCAATCCTCCTCGGTCGTACACGGCCGTGTACCAACCATATACGGCGAATAACGGCAACTGTTCGCGTTAGCCGTTTACGGTAAT